GGATGGGGCCAACACAACTACAAGTGAACTTAAATTTTCACTGGATCACAATCTGCGATTTTTTTTTATCAAATATTCTTTGTGAAACGGCGGGAAATGGCCTTCCAAAAGCACGAAATTTAACAAAAAATATTTTTGAAAATATCGCGAATTTAATTGCATTTTCTGTGAATCATTTCCGTTTCAATAAATTACCTGATACGTATTCTGATCTTTTCGAAAATAGAACGTTAAAAACTTCAGCCGATAGAGAGTACCCAATTTATCTCAAAAATAGAGTGAGCTGGGTCATCCATGGTTCCAAATGGACCGCATTGAAATCGGTATAGATCGATCGATGTATTTTTTTTAGGGTACACACCGAAACCAGATGCGCGTTAATGGCATATGAAGTTTTCGGAAATTATTCGCATTTTACGTGTTCTTGGCTACTTCAATGCAACGTGTAGTAAATCTTAGCCGTCAAATGAAATTTCGCAAAATATGCAGGGATTGGAAGATAACCTTTAGTATTTCAGGGAAACCGCATGCACATGAAATTATTTTAAGGATTACGCGACTTAGACGCAATTTATGATGTATATTTCATAATATAGTTTTATTTTAAGATTTATTCCTACTTATAGAACCCGAAGATTTATCGGAAGGGTCTTGCTACAATCCGCAAGATGTATACTTATACCCAAGAAGTGATTATTTTTATATATGTCAATTTTTCGGCGAAATTCAGGTAAAATAGAAGAATAACCCCAACGCCACCTCTTACAACTTGCGTCAAAACATTTACCAATTCAGTGTCGTAAAACCTTCCGTTTCCATTTCACTGAACACTACAGGGAATAGTTTGAACCATATTGGAGAAGCATGGGAAACGACCATAGAACACTATATGCTTATTTCATTTAACGCTGCATGGGACGATTCATCCTGATCATACAGCAATGAATTGCCAGCATAATGAATTCCAGAAGAGTAGCTAGATGTCTATATATCTGACCATATACATCAAAATAATTGTCTTTCATATATTGACAACTTATCTGGACCCTATATTCTTGAAGAAAACATGGATGACATAGAATGAAACTTTTATAAGTTTTTCGCACCCATCATAATTTAGGTGTGTATGCTTATTCGTTGTCCAGACCCATTTTCGGTGTAAATGTTCATGGTGTTTGGATCATAATTTTAAAGCTATATGATCCTATAAATATTAATGGATTATGAAGTATTTGGCCAGAATCAAGTATACTTGCTAAATTTCTTGACGATCCGAATTCAACATGTCCATTTACCAATCAAAATGTGTTTCTAAACTCTTATCAAAAATTAAAAAAATGTCCAGCAGATCAGATTATCGTGCTATGATTGACTACAATCGAAAGGTATTTTCCTAATGGGGTTCAATGAAATTCAGTAAGGAAAGGATCAAAGTCGGATGGGACCGACTATATGATACCCTATACAAGAGAATTTCGAAATGCGAAATATGTTAGTGTATGTGGATATATGGCTCCTATATAAATTAGTTCAAATAAAAATTTATGCACATCATTTTATACTTAATTCGGAAGTATTTGTATATTTCGTGTACCGCTTTAATTAAATTGGACGCAATTATGCATAGGAGCTGTATTTTAATCTGAACCGACTTAGCTAGAAGAAAACTTTGCCAAAACATAAACAAACCTTGGACCATTGATAAACAAACGTTGGATATTTGAAGATATATCTAAACTGATCTGATTTGAATTTGCAAAAATATCACAAATGACGAATGAGATCTAATCAAAACCATAAGCTTATTGAATGTAAATTTGATACACGTCACTTTAGGTTCAATGCACTTATTATTAACATCTAATTTAATGAAGAATTCATTCCGAATCTGGATCTGCCTTCACTGCTTCTATTTAACAACTTCTATTTAAGGTTACCCACCCACAAACTAAGTTAAAAAATAAGGAAGTTCTTCCCCGATTGGCTTTATCCTAGTTCATACGTGAACTATACACTCCCAGAGAAACGTGTCAAAATTTGGAACCGATTGGATTATTAGTTTTAGAGTTATCGTGCCCGCCATTCGCAAAAGAGAAAAACGCGTTTAACGTTTCAGAAGCCCTTTAGCCGTCACTTGATGCTGACACAATAAATCGGCTATATCTTCAAGAGTTCTTGAGATTTTCACTTGAAATTTTGTGGGGACATTCTTGAATTAGTGTAGATTCGAATTAAATCAAAAAAAAAAATGGTCCCTAGTATGTGGGGTCCCCTTAATGTATTTGTCCTTCGCACACAAAAAGAGGCTGTCGAAGACAACCTCCATTACTTTCGGAATATGGATATGGTGTTTCAGGTTGAATTGTCGCCTTCAAAAAATTACATTTCCACAAAGAAATTAGTGATTTTTTTGTTTTGGGACTCTCCCATCTTAATTTTGACCAAATCCATTTTAAAAATTCTTACATATATAGATGATTTATGTTGGATAAAAAGGTGACTATTACCAATTATCATACGCATATCACTAGGATAAATCAAATCCATGCATATATTTTTCATTATACTCTTCACCATAATGTGCTACATAGTATTAACTGGAAACATGGTACTATCTGGAAACAAGGTAGTTACTTTTCGGAATATACAAACAATCACTTTCTGACAATCACATCTGATATAGTTTTTATAAAGTTTTGTTTGATTTTGTAATATGTAATACAATAAAGTCCCAATGATCTTCCATTGAGACGAACTTTTATATAGCGTACCGGTTAGAAATACGTGTGTTACGTTTCATTGAAATCTATTCAGAATTCGAATCTGGATAAGTATTGAAATAATTCGGGTAGTTCTAGTTGATCATCTACTTCTCGTCTGCTACATGACACTTATAACTGGAAATGCATGTAAGATTTATTTTTGGTATAAACTCAACTTATCCACTTTTTCTTATTTTAAAAACCTTAATGTCCTGTGGCTGTCAAAAAATATTCCTAAAATTCTGAATAAGAATAAAAAGTAGCATGCCAATGATGTTCTATTCTGAAATTGATATGTTTGTTTCCATTTATACAATAATTCAAGCTGTCTGTTATTTTTGTGAAATAATCTCAAAAATCTGATTATTGACCTTCGAGAATGTACTGTAGTTAGTCGTATATATTTTGGTCAATATAATTTTTCTTTAAAATTGTCAATGTGAGTGTTTATTGATTACGGGCCTCAGCAGGTCCTGACTAACATTGTCACGCCAACACATGTACAACTAGGATTTATTATTAATCGAATGAAACTAACAAGTCGTCAATATTCGGTGTTACCTCATAGTCCCCTAATTATACAATTCTATGTCGTCCTCCAACGAAATATGTCTAATATTGATATGAGAAACAAATTTTAATTGATGGATTCTTTAGTTGTTCTAAAAAGTGTTTATCTTAAAATATCATATTGTACTACAGAGAAAATTGTTAATATGGTTTGACGTCACTTGGTGTCCAAATTCCAATATACTTGTATAGCATTTATTTTCATTCAATCATCATGTATTTCTTTGGACATAACGAATTGTATTCTTCAGTAGACCTTCTTCCTTACCTGCAAACCGCATGTCAGCAATTTATAACCATTAAAAAAGATAAACACAACTGATATTTATTTGCTTTTAAATGCTGAACTTTTATTTTCGAAAAAAAAACATACTATAAATAAATTAAATTAAATAAATACATTAAATAAATAAATAAAATATAAATAGTTTAGAGAAATACGTAGCACAGTTGTGATATGTCTTTGTGTTGTCAAGTCAGAGTATGAAACTAAATAAATTGTACGGACAATAGCTTTCCTTTGGAATTTCCTTCGTAAGAAGAAATGAAGAAACAAAACAAACAGCAAAAACACATACACACATACAAAAGAAAAGTTAATAATCTTTGTCTGAACATTTTTCTTAAAAACTACATTAAATTATTCAAACATTTCTTATATGACTAACGGATTAAAAGAAACAATGCTTTTGAATGGAGAATAAATGGAAGCCAAGATGCAAATGAAAAATAATGAGGAAGCAATTCCGAGTTGCTGGACGGATCACAATGAAGATGAAGATGTGAATGAAACAGTTAAAAGTTAGTCTGAAGAAATGCGGAGTTTTTTTCTTTGTCTGGAGATGATACAGTGAAGTGTGAAAATGATAAAAACGAAAATGGGATAGGGGCAGAGAGACACCAGATTGCATTTTTCCACATCAACAACACGCAGCAGCATCAGAAGATGGAGCGAGCGTGTGGCACAGACAGAACATGCCAAAGTTGAGTGGCAAGAGATAGTTGAGGCTGATATCACCACCGGTATGAGCTTGCTTGTAGTTGTTGCACGCAAACATGGCTAAAAGTTCAAAGTTGAACTTGAAGTTGCTGCCGCTTTTCCAAGTAGCAGATGCAAAGAAACGTTAGAGTTTAATTGAAAACCAAACCAAAGAAGAAAAACATTTTCTTCCACAGTCAGAGTGATAGACAGTTGATACAGAATAGAAAACAGAGGAAATCTATAGAGAAATTTGATATAAAAACTAATTTCACAAATAACTGTTACCCGATGAGGCGCAAGGCCTATGAAGAAGAAAAAAAAAACGAAACGTACACTAATGGAAAATATATTTTCTCTGATGTACAGCAGAGGTATTGGAAATTGAGGTCTGATTGCAGAATAATGCCGAATATATTGTAAATACGGGAATAAGGCCTGAAGCGTGCCATCGCGGCGATAGCGTAACCATTATTAGACTATTTAGGAGGTGAGATTTGTGAACTATAATTTCATTTTAATTACACAGTGTCATTGCGTTTTGTGAGCGAAAAATAATAAATTATCTATAAGATAATTGATTTTTTCATTTGGAACAAGCTCTACTAGGTTAGTGTCTTTATTGTCATCGTTCGGTTTACTGCTCCGTTTTTTTTTTTTTTTTGTGTTTTGTTGGCTATTGGTCCCGTTTACAGTTTTTTATCGCTTGATGATTTTAACGGTTGTTGTTGCACTTGTTGCTGTTGTTGTTGTTGCTGCTGTTGCTGTTGTTGGTACTGTTTTGCATAACTGCGATAAGCCAACTCCTGAGCTTCGGTTAGGGAACGTCTGTCCCAGCCACCACTGCCGCCACCGCCGGATGACCAACCGCCACCACCACCACCGGAGGACCAAGAAGAACTGCCGCTTGACTTGCCACCTCCTGACAACAGCTTCTTCAAACCCATGATGCCCGCCAACAGCAAAGCAATCTTGGATATAATCAACGCCTTGCCGGCCAAAATGTACAGCATACCCATGGCAACGGGTATCATGCCCATCATTTTCATGGCCATTCCCATAATCATCATGCCCATCATTTTCTTCATTTTACCACGACCTGTAAGAGAAACAAAACAAAAAAATACAATTTCCATTAAAATTATAAAACAAAAAAACGTCAAGTATATTTTATATGGAGAGTGAAAGCTTGTTACATTTTTTCGTCGAAGTCGCTGCAGCTATCATTCACTTATTTAATTTTATTTGGAAAAATCGCAAAATGGCAAACATCAAAGACACACACATTCACTTACAAACCAACACATCCCAGTCAGTCAATCACACTTTGTTTCAGGGGATATCTGGTTTGAAGTGCAAATTAGTTGACTTTCGCCTTTTTAAGTTATCAAATATTTCCATAATTTCAATTTTCATTTTCCATTGTTGTTTGTGAATGTGTGTGAATTTAAATTTAAGGAGTTTTTGCTTCATTTGCTTGGGGAAACTTGTTTGACATGTGACTAGTCACTCACATGGGCTATATTTGTATTGTTAAACTCTTAGAAAAATATATTTAAATATTTGTGGAAAATCTATTTTGAAAGAAAATAAGTAACAATGGAGATTTCATATTGCTATCAAAAATTCTGTAAAAAAAAATCGACTTCAAAGGTAACGATGTGATTATTCAACTCCATTACTAACACGAAGGATATTTCAAGTATATATGTTTTATTTCTCTCGTAAGTAAAAAAAAAACAAAATAAAACCTATAGAGGATCTGAATTTCAACCAGCGTTGATAATTTCCAGGCTATGACTATGGTGCCGAATGTGGCCCATCAAATGACGAAGCTACCCCGGGAGGGGCACATTCGGCGAATTTGACACTTTTCAAAACTGTTTTTGGTGCTAGTTTTTATAATTAT